ATTGTTACTTCTTGAAAATGAATGAGCATTATTATGTTTGTGTCAAAGCCATTTTCCGGGGTTTTTTGGCCGTGATCTGCAGGTTTTTACACCTGATGTTTTGTGAAGTGCTACTTGGACCAATGTTGAAATCCGTCTTCGATTTTATATCATCATTGATAAGTGTTACAGCACAAACATTGTTCCCAATACCAAAACTGGAACACCCTTCTCGACGTGCACCAACTAACTTCTGTCAAATGATCGAGAACTGTATTTTAATTGGAGTGGTTTTTCTTTGATGTTTAGTAATGATGTTATCTTAATTATTAGTTCAGAATGGAGAATATGAAATAAGTTAATTATTTCCAACGAATTTTATTGACATTTGAGTCATAGAATAAATATACATATAGCGGGTTTATGCAACAACACCTAAGAACTAAACCTATTAACCAGTAACATTCATTCATCAATTTTTTCCATTATAATTATATTAGGTACAAGTCTGACAATGGTTTCGAAACTTCTTGGGTCGATGACAGCTGTAAATACTTCAATTTGACGCATGCTCAATTCAGTTTGAACCTAACCTCTTAGTTATTACTTAAATGTTGGCCAACTTTTCAGGGACAGTTCTCAATCATAGTCAAGTTTTCAAAATCGTTCACGTTGATTTGTTATCGTCAAACTCTTAGTTCAGTCTTGTGAGTGTTGCAGAAACCTGCCATTACACTTTCAATTTCAAAATAGTAATAATCAGAATTATAAACAGTGAAAAAATTTGAGTTTCTTCAAAAATATTCAATATTTTTGAGAAGAGTAGAGGAGCTGCCCATATATACATAATCTAACCTANCATATATACATAATCTAACCTAACAAAGTGGATCTAGTCTCAGAAATATCAATTGGGGGCCTATATGAAATATTTAAGAAACAAAAGTAAATCATGATTTGGAAGACTACCAATCAAATAAACAATCCTTCAATTGAAGAATACAAACAATTCAAAGTTGGAAAGCTTTTGTTTAGCAACAAAGCCCAGGTATGTTCACAAATTTGAAGGATCTTAACCACTTACTGCAAATTATTCCCTGGAATATCAGGATAAACAATTTTTACACATTTTCTAGCAACTACACTTTTCTCTAAGCAGTGCCTGAATGTTTCTTTTAATAGTGACCCAAGTGCAACAAATGGAAGAAAACAATACGTTTTGAAAAAATCAAACTCAAGTTCTTAGTTACTAAAAACGACGTTTTCTGAAGTTATCTACTACTCCCATTACCTCATCTAGAAATTTATTCAGAGAAACACCTTTCATTTCAAAAGAAACAACTTCAATTTTTCAGAAAAATTGGACATATTTGATGGCCGAGTTCTCACATTAATTGAAGTGAAAATTTTAATCTATCAGCAGTTATCAGTAGCTTTCACTGCAATGGTGCTCAGAAATTTGGTAGTATCTATCTATCTCTGTTGAGAGGGACTGATATTGCATCATATTTGTAGGACACTCTAACATAAAGATTAATACAACAACTACGTTTTAATTAATTTTTTAGACATGAAGTTTTTGGTTCTTTTTTTATAAAAGTTATTTCAATATGGAGTTGAGAATTCTGCATATGAATCATGGGGAAATTGAAGGAGGACAAATTAAGTAAGAAAAAGAGACGTGAAGATTGTAAAGAAACTGAAGTTGTCAGTATTAAATTGAGAGAGAAATCACTATCAGGTTCATTATATTTATTGTTTTTCCGAATTTTCAAACATCGCTCTTTTTGAGTACCTCTCAACATTTCATCTACGAGTGGTTGACAATTTTAGAAGAAGAGAGACTGACTCTTTGGCAAATGAAGAAGAAACGTTGAGAAACTCACTCAAAACGAACGGAGGACGACGAATTTTTAAACATCGTTCTTTTTGAGTGCCTCTCAACATTAAATCTACGAGTGGTTGACAATTTTAGGAGTGGAGAGACTTGAGTCTATGGCATTGTAGAAGAAACGTTGAGAAACTCACTCAAAATGAACGGTGGAAGACAATCCCAAAAACGACAAATACCACTGCGAGTTTCTTCATCAATAGAAATTCTAATGTATTGTTCGAATTAGGAAAATGATTTACAGACTCAAAACTATATCCAACAAACTTTTATGTTATTAAAGACTTCAAATTTGCATTGAAACTCTTCTAGTACTAATTCCCAACCAAACAATGAATGATTCGATTGATTGAATACCAGAATTGCTAAAGGTGCTAAGCGCCAAAAATGAAAATTTTCAGGAATGGAAAAAAAATACACATGGCAGGAGTTACATTGGTCAGTATGGAAAAATCCAAAAGTGAAAACATGGCACTTGGATTGTTCAGCAATTCTAGAACTCCAACATCTGATAAAGGCAATATCACTACTTGTATGAAAAATATTTTCTGTATTCAACTAGAGAAACTTCATCTGTGAAGTCAGTTACTTTAATAATTCAGGACTTTGTTATAGTTTGCTGAAACAATCTTAAGGAACACCACACCACATTTACTGAATTCCCAGCTGTTCCCTAACATAACTAAAGCTTCATATACAGGGCAGATGAGAAGAGGGAGCTTTTTACATCTGCCCTGTATATGAAGCTCAGTTTTGTTTTTTAATGAGACAAGATATCGAGGTCCAACAAAGTTTATGTAAAAATATATCACTTTTAGTATATTTCTGATAAAAAATTTAATAGCGCTTGTTGCATTTTTGTGAATCTCTGATAATCTGTAAGTTCAAATCTAGAAACTAGTACTTTAACCAATCACCAGAAATGCAATACTCATCTCGACTTGTGTTTCACCAACAAAGTTGGCTTCTTTGGGAGGTGAAGGAAGAGAAACTACGCCTGTTACCTCATCATCTTTGATAATGTGCAGTCCTAGACAAAACGTCAGGTTAAAACTCCGCACACCACAACCAGCAAATCTGGGAACAGCTAATCCCAATATCATAGAAAATACTTCCTCAGGGTACTTGACAAAATTTCAACTTTCTTAGCACTTTCTGTTTTTATTTTGTGAACAGCTCTTTTCAAAGTTTCAATTCCTCAGTATGTAATTTGGCTAATGCATAGGATTTCACCTGGTTATAAAGACTAGCCTTTGACTTTCTTCAAGAAACAAGTTAAAATGAAATTCTCCCATTATTAAAACTCCTTCACCAACAAGGGAATATCAACCTCTTCAGGCCTGAAGCATATATTCTCCAGTACGCAGATGACACCGCCCTAATTGCGCACTATCAAACGCTAGACAAAGTTATTAACAATTTGGAACATCTTGCAACAATAACAAATAAATGGTTCAATAAATGGAGAATTTATTGAGAGAAACTGCCGATTTACACTTGCAAAACCATTATTAGCACTTTTCTCTTCTCTGAAATTTGGTATATTTCCTCTATACTGGAAATCAAGCTTCATAACACCTATTCATAAATCTGACGATAAAGCTAATATACAGAATTATCGCCCAATAAGTATTACCAGTGCTATACCCAAAGTGCTGTAGTCCACAGTATGTGACGAAATCAAAGATTCAGTTAATCAAGTTCTTATAGATGAACAACATGGCTTTACCAGAGGCAGATCAACAACTTCCAACCTACTGTTATTTTCACAGTATGTGTTGAATGCTTTGGAGGAGAAACATCAAGTAGATGTCATCTATACTGACTTTTCCAAAGCATTTGATACAGTGAACCATTCAATTTTATGTGAGAAATTGAAAGCTATTGGATTTTGTGGAAAACTATTGGATTGGTTGCTATATGCAAGCTATATTAGTAAGAGATCTCAATATGTAAAAGTCAAGGGATTCACATGTCACGAAATTAATGTTTTATCAGGTGTACCACAAGGAAGCCATCTAGGGCTGTTTCTTTCCAACATCTTTATTAATGATATCAGAGTTGACTTAAAATATGCTGACATCTTACTTTTTGCAGATGATTTAAAAATGTTTAAGACAATTCAAACACCAGATGATTGCCTAGTATTACAACGTAAATAAATGTAAATGTATGACGTACTATCAAGTACTTACACCTGTAAACTATGATTACTACACATCGGGAGAACTTTTAACACGTGTCGAATTTGAATAAATTACAATTATTATTATTATTAAAAGTCTTTTTGTGCATCTACTTGAGATGCACAACTAGACGTGAACTCTACCTTTTGACAGCCATTCTTCTCTATATATTTCTGTATTGTCATATTATTCAGAAATAACTTTTTGTGATTTAAGCAAAGCATTTGATTGTGTATCACATGAAATTCTCTGGAATAAATTAAAACTATATAATTTTTCTGACAACACTATAAAGTGTTCGATTGAAAAATCGATTTCAAACTGTGAAAGTGGGCAATTCTCTATCAACAAGAAAAAAAATAACAACTGGTGTACCGCAAGGATCTATTTTGGGACCTCTACTATTTATAATTTTCATTATTGATCTACCATATTGGGAGAACCCGTTATCTTATATTTTATATGCAGACGATACTACAATCCAAACAAATGCTAAAACTCTAGATGAGGTACTTATATTATCCTCTGAAGCACAGATTTTTGCTTTCATTTCTTCATCTCTTGAAGAAGTCAACTATGGTGGTGAAACATGCATCGAGAATATATTGCAGTTCTGGTGTTTGGGAAAAATGACTGTTTTGGATTTATTCTACACTAGATATGCCACTTTAACCCTTGATTTATAAGTTTGAAAGTAATCCATTTCATAAATATATTTTGTCAAAACTATCACCCTAAACTTCTATGAGAAAACAACCTCTGGAACATTCTGCATTATTTGAAGTGGTTAGTGGTAAAAAAGTACCATCTGTTGCATACTTTCTGTGGGTCACTGTACCTATATTTTGCAAGCTATAAGCATGGCAACCCTGTCACCAAAACGTATACAGCTACATCTTGTTGCAAGACGTCATATCGAGAGTTCTAGATATTAAAATAACAGATTTGACCTGGAATATTTGTATTTTCATACATCATAGCGATTCATAAACAATTCAATATAAAAAGCATCTTTCTAGAGTAATTCACATTTCTTCAAACTAATCCTGAATTGATTTAAGCTCTCCATACTCGAATTTATGGGGGAATGTGTGCACGATTTATTTTTTCAAAAAGTAAATACAAATATGTCGAGTTTTTCAACGATCATGAAGTCAATATAAATATTTCGTGATATCACATAAAATCAAGAGCATTTGTACTCACTTAAAAAAATATTAAACAATGTTACCCTTCTCATTCGTTTAGTTACCGTTACCCTGATAATTGGTCAGTAGATTTGGCATAGAACAGCAAGTATGGGGTCGACGTCGAATTTGGCTTGTAACTTAATTCTTCTACGAGTTCTTGGCTAGTGATTGGCCTAACGTTTTCGTCGTCACATTCTAACCACATGTCTTCCGGAGCCACATTGTTAGAATGCCAAGGAAATTCCTGCTCGTCTTTCCTGGAACAACTGTTGAAAGCGTTCTCAACGACATTCTTGTTCAATCTCACACCGCAACAATCCACACCCCTGCACATCCTAACACCGTTCAGGACGCTCTTGGAGGACAGTCCGTTTCTACTATCAATCAAGGAACTGGCATGGGACCGCGGCTTCAGGAACTTCAGGATGTTCAGAGATTTTTCGCTGCTGCTGGCGGAAAGACTGCCCTTCGGCAGGTCTCTCGAGCAATCGGAATAATCTTCCAAGTGGTCGGAAGCTTTGACGTATGCGATGTAGTGTCCAGAGGCCATAGTACCCCCTAGATGCATAATCACACAGCACAACTTATACCGGTGAGAAGCCCCAGTCCCATCCACCTTACAACAAGACTCGCAGAAACATTTCAAAGAGAGTGGAGTAGGTAGGTAAGTATTCACTTTCTGGACACCTGACGATGACGTGGTGAATCTCTTCAACTGCAGGACCATTATATTGGGCAACTTCTCGAATAATACCTCTCTGGATGCCTCGTTATATCGCTTACATTTCTCGCACAAGTATTTGTTAGAATCACAAAGTTTTTCAGTCGTTACACAAGCCCTTCGAAAAATATCATTTACATTCATGGAATCGGAGTCATCGTCTTTCACGGATATCGGTACGGGGATATCATAGAAAGGTTCTTTCCTTTCTGAAACGCTTTCACATTCCAAGCACTTGGTGCGCCTCAACGTTATCCCCTCAAAGTCCTCGGCAACGAAATTGTATCCCAGTTTCTTTCGGCTGCCTCCGCTGTTGCTATCAATCGAAGCTGAGTCTTCAATGTCAGTGGAATTTGTCCCGTTCACCTGCTCTTCAGATATGGGCTCTTTGGTGCTCTTATCTTTCTTCTTGTAATTTTTTTTCCAGGAACGCCTCACGTTCCAAATTCTGCTCGAGTTGACGGGAGCTGCAGACTCGGTTTCATTGAGAAGTTCCGGATTTTGCTCGACTTGCTGAGTCAGAACATCACAAGTTTCACGAATATTATCCAAAAGGTAAACGAGCAGTTCATGGGCATCTTGTTGATTGTTACCTGTTGAGGACCAACAACAAAAATGAATATACAGTTTTTGTTTCTTCTTGTATTTTATGCTAGTTACTGAGGTTGAATGTTGAATGTTTTATTATAACATTAGCTTTCCACTCACTAAAGCAAGATTTGAATCAAAGAGCGCATCAAAATGGATTAGCCTTGAGGTTACAGCCTCAAAAGATATTTTAATGCTTGCATATGATATACAAAGGCAAAATCCATCTGAACAACATAAAAACATCTATAAAACTTGTAAACGACAATATCAGGAGTCACTATTGGAGGCTAAGAAAGCACATTACCACAGTATTACCACAGGTAATTACAGCAAAACTGTGTGGCAAATCATCAACTCCGAAACAGGTCGAAAAAACAAAATCTTAAATGAACCAGAAAATCTAACAGCTAACCAGATGAATGACTTCTTCATCAATAACATAAACACAACTCTACTGCACTACCCCAAATCTGATGTTGACCCTATTGCTTAAACATCCTTTATATGAAATTGATCAATTTTTCGAAGTTATCCAAGAAGAAAGAGACACTTTTGTGGTCACCTCACGAACTTTTACTCAACTTTGAATATATATAATACGTTAGCTATGTGTTTACAATTTGTAAAAGCTCATGGCTTTACATTTTACTCAAGTCTTATAAGATTGGAATTTTATCTTGTTAACTTGTATTTTTTTTTAAATCTAATTTATCTACAAGCATTTTTTTAAAACTATATTGACAAATCTTACCCTCTCAAACCTATTTTAGAAATTGTATTGACGTGTCTAAAAACTGTGTGTTTCTTGAGACTAAATATATTATTATTATTATACATTCGAATAGCGTTCTAAAGATTTGACTTTCGAAAAGGAAAGAGGTTTATAGGTGACCAAAATAAAAAATCACCAGCAGGAAGTATGTCACAACCTAAAAAGTTTTTTGTCTAAAGAACAATAAAGCAAATCTTCAGAAGGACACATTGAAGATTTACCACCCCAATATCCAGTGTCTAACTAATAAAATAAAACAGTTACAGTTGTACCTCGATGATGAACATTGTGATGTCATTTGTTTGACTGAACATTGGCTCAATTTAGACTGTTTGAAAACTATCAATCTGAATAATTTCAAATTCCCTCCAACATGGTGGTGTTTCCATACATGTTCACAAAGACTTTCAATATAAACCTCTCCTTTTGGATACTTTTTGCATTGAGCAGCATGCAGAATTTTGTGGTACCTATTGAATTATCAAAAGAAATTGCATTACAACATACAGATCTTTATCCAACGAATATGAACTATTCTTCAATCAAATTGAAGAACCTCTAGCAATGATATCAGTAACATATAAAACCATAACATTAATAGGGGATTTCAATAACGACATTTCTAAAAATGACTACATCTCAAATTCCTGGTTGAATATCATCAAATCGTTTGGACTTAACCCTAAAATAACTACCGCTACTGGAGTACTCCTATATCTTCCAAGTTGCATAGACAATATAATGACTAATTTAAACGATAGTGAACCTCAGATCCTAGTATTTCAGATCATAGTGGACAGTTTATAGAAATTTCAAATTTTTTTACATACATTGCTGAACCTAAATGAAACAGAATAGTTACTCAGAAGGGACTGGATGCCATGAAACAATCTCTTGAACAAGTCGATTGGTGGATGTTCCATGACAACCATGTCCCTACGAACATGATGGCTGACTTCTTGAATAATACATATAGTTCCCTTGTATGTGAACATTTTCCACTGAAAAAATTAAAAACAATAGACTGAATTTCGGCAAAATAGAAATTCCTCTGGCAGAATGAAGCATTAACATTTCTCAAACATTGAATTTGACCTACTTTTTGATTAATATTTGCAATTGCACTGTTGACTTTTTTCATTACAATTAAGACAAGACCAAAGTAATGCCCAAGAACTTTATGACAGAGTTCCTAACCATATTTGTATCAAGTTTAATTATTGTGAATCAACTTTTGTCTTGTATGTCAGTTATTTAGATTACACTTGGCACTTCCATTTGTTTCTATTCAAAATGTAATGATTCATCATGAACGGACAAAAACGAGAACAAATCTATGTAAGACCAAATGAAAATAAAAGCTATCAATAAATTATAAACATGAAAACGTTACCTTCAAATATTGAATTAGCTTCTCTAACAGCTTGCAACAGAGCGATCGGTTGGTAGGGATCAGTGGAGTCTTTCAGTTCAAGATTGTGCATCGTTGTGAACAACTCATGCAGTTTCTCTGTGACAATTTGCACTTTTGATTTCGGGATGATATCGTTTGAGCTTCCTAGGGACAATAAATCCTTGCTGCTAGTGCTGCGCGAGCTCGGGCCTGTAATAGCTCCTATATTTCGACCGAGAGACGAGGTTTTCGCTTTGGTCTGATTCAATCTTGAACTAACCAGAGTCAAATCTCCAATGAGGTGATGCAGGTTATGTAAGAATGTAGGAGCAAAACGCAGGGTATACAAAACACTGTTTAGAAAGCAAGTATTGCCCATATTCGAAAGAGTTGCCACAGGAGAGTCTTGGAGAACATCCCCGTTGTTTTTCTGGTCGCCCCGATATCCGTTCAGCATTTCGTCCAAGGCCTGTTTTTTGTTAGATATAGTGCCTTCCTCAAATACGTTTTTGCGTTTCAATTGATGACCAGCCTTATACTTTTTCTTTAAGGGTTGCTTATTGCGCATAGAAATCACGTCATTCTCCAGAATTGTCATCTTCCTCAGTATTCCTGCAAATGAAGACGTTTAAATAGACACTTGTTACCCATCACAGAAATCATACTTCAGTACTTACATGTGTATTCAATATTGAAACTATCCCACCACACGAATCACAATTTCACTGTCATCCGTCAGGAATGAAAATGTATTTGAAAATCTCAAAATCAAATACTTCGTAAATTCCTACAGTATACAATATATACTATCAAATATTATCCATTAAAGGTAGGACTGTAGATTAAATAGGAAGACAAATGACAAGTGATGTTGAGATCTTCTTCTCATCATTAGACATTTTGGCTGTGAGGGTTCAGGGTCATCAAACATGAATGCAACTTTTCGGGCCACGAAAGTCCCCCTTCCCTTTCACACAAATAAAATTTATGGCTCCTTTTCTACTTTGATGTCAATTTTTGTTCACGTTGAACTTTGAATTGGAGATTGGATTAGAAAAAAATAATGTCAAAATACCATCGAGTTTTGCTTATTCACAAATTAAGATATCAAATACGGTTCTGACACTAAATATCGGACTCAATCGTTTTACTGTTTCCGATATCTGTGAAAATTATTGATACTATTCTTTTAGAGTTTTGTATTTTCCAGAATTGTCTCTGCCTCTGTTCATTCATTATCTTCAGTTGTTATGGTAATTGTTTACGTGGTTTACCTTCATTGAATATTGAGAACAATAATTGAAAAATGAATATATACTTGCTAGCACACCCTCAAATAATTTTGAAATATCTTACCTGAAGTGGGTATTGGCCTAATCCTATGTTCAGAGTTGATGACAAAATAAATCGAAACGAATACATTTTATTTTTCTTCATGAAAAAATATCAATATAATCACATTTCTTTACAAATTAACCAATCGGGTGTCTTCCGCGGAGGTACAGGGATTTCGGAGAAGTGTCTTTTGAATGTACAACTATACAGTAAGTGTATAAATTTATCATTTTTTCTTTTCACGTATGGAGTTATTTGTGAATAATCTTGAAAACGCACAAAATTTTGTCAATTCCTTTCGAAAACAAAGAAGAAACATTTTTATTCACGATTTCACTCATCCCAATGTTCATATTAGTCTCTGATATTTTAAACCTAAGATTCTTTCATTTTAGAACTCGGATTTTTTATCTCTCTCTTGTCAGTTCTTTCACAACAATTGATATCATAACATAAAATGTATTTATGATGCACTGTTTGGAACCTTTGGTGTAGTAATGAATATTACTGGAGTTTTTTTCCAACACCAAATCGTTATTTTTAACACCTCGACACGTGTTTCGATCACCAAGTGATCATCTTCAAAGAGGAAGATTAAAACTTCCTCTTTGAAGATGATCACTTGGTGATCAAAACACGTATGGAGGTGTTGAAAATAACTATTTGGTGTTGGGAAAAAACTCCAGTAATATTTATAAAATGTATTGTACACAAGTCGCATTACATTTGTTATTTTTGAAATTATTCTGGAAATTTATGGTAATGTGGGTCAGGTAAAATTATGAAAATATTCACTGGCGAAAACTTTATTTGTTATTGGCGACATTGATAATAAACTAGACTAAAATACAGACATCCAGCATATTTTTCTCTCGATCAAACAGTATGTATATCACAACAAGCTTGTATTTAGCAATCAGAATTATTTCTTCTTTGGAAAGGAACATTGACTTTTGATAAAGATATGTTGCATGAAATCATATAAAGTATTGGAATTTCCACCTATTTATCTTAGAATATTTACTTGAATTCTAGAATTCCGTGAGAGCATTTTCATGATTAATTTGCATTGACGTCATATATGATGAAAAAGTATGACCAACTAACAATGCAAGTTCTTAAAACATTTGATGACTTGATGTTGGCAGCTATAAGCGGTTATGTCACTTTTAACTTTTCTTGGGTGAAAAACTTTCCATAGTTAAACATTATTATAGTAAGACATTTCATAACATCAGTGGTAACTTATTAGGTTAGCTATCGCTACAGGACTATTTCTAACAGTCATACAACAGCCGAAAAACTGACATTGTATATAATATCTTTATCAGCATTTATATTTGAATGCAAGCTTGTTGTACCTAACTCGCACTGTATATCAAGTACTCAATCTTTGAGTCATTTCAATTTCACATACACAATGTCTACACAATCCAATACCAATTTCTCAAAAAGCAGTTTTTCTTGTAACTCCTAAGATTAAATAAGATTCAACAAATACCAACATGTGTTGATTCTTGATAAAAAAATGCGACACAGGCATTCGGCACGGAAAGGTTTAATTATAAACTTGTCAATTCACACTCAACAGTAAGTAAAAACACATTCATTATTATGCTTACATTTATTAGTTATAAATATTTAATGCATAACAATGATATTCTGACGAAACAGTGGGCAGTTTAACAATATAACGATATTGGAAGACTCAAAACAAAATTTATTTCTAGCAAAATATAAAATTGATATATTAATCATGTCGATTTTAGCATCAGAACAATTGATACTAACCACTACAATAAACATTGAGTTGGCGTTTATTCAAACCACCAAATTTGGTAATTTGGACATTTCTGAAAATCGGGGGAGTAGGTATTGTCAATATTTTTCAAAGGCTAGTATAATAAAAATTGTTCTGAATTCGTACCTATATAAAGTTCAATATGTGCTAAATGAAGTTCAAAAACAAGACAATATCGTTGTCTACCATTGTTTCCATTTGCCAACAATATATATATTGTCTTCCAAAAGTTAACTACAAACATCACAACATTTAATCGTGGGCATGGTGGTTATTCTTGACAAAGCTATATACTTATATACAGAGTTTTCTTAAATATTATATTAGGTAGAATACTCATTCTTAAATAATACTTTATAACAAGTGGAAAATTATCTATATCAATATCTACCCCTGAATTCAAAAAAGGTGAACACATTTAACGAAATATATTTTGATATTATGAAAAGAGTCTCATTTTGTAATATACAGGTGGTCAGATTTATGAAAATACAAGTCTCAGATGATATGTGCAGAAATGTATCTCACGAGTGGTCATAATTCCAAATAATTTCACACATTTATATCATTAGATATACAAAATGTGACATAGGAATTATTAATCACATAACAATTAATGAACGTATAAATATTGTGAGAAATTTTATATTTATACCAAGAATCTACTACCGATACAAGCTGTGTATCAATACTTTTAATCATAAGAATGATGCACTACTCACTATCACAAAGCACATACATGTTCTCTGCTCACTAAGGCTGTTTTCTACATTCACATATAGCTTGTCATATGTAGGAAAAGCTTCCTGAATTTCGATACGGTCCCGCCCTCTAGATGCGATTTGGTGAGAACATGAGCATTGATGAGGACGCTCAGTTGCAATAATAATAATATTAAGGTGTATATATCGGCAGTGCAGTGTGAGATTGTACTTGGGCAAGTGCTAGTTTCCATTCTTTTTCGTTGTTGTGGGAATTCTGAAGACTCCTCCTAGACTTGACAAGCCGTGGTTCTCAAGAAAAATTTTAAAAATACTTGAAATTTCCTTTGGCATAACCTATAAAAATGTAGCAATGGAAGTGATAATAACTTTATTAATTTTCTGGTACTAAAAAATGTCTGGATATTTCTCCAAGTGTGGTGATGCATTGTTCTGGATGTGTGATTTTAAACATTCATTATTCCTTCTTATGGAATAATATATAGTACTCAGGTATATAAAAAAACTAAAAACTAACCACACTTGTTATCCACGTAAAATACATAGTAGGTATATTAAAAAAACTAAAAGTTAGCCACACTTGTTTATCCACGTGAAATAAAACTATTCAAATGTTTGCGATTCTTGTTGAACCAATTTAAAGCGTCTTGGACTCTTCACGGACATAGATCCGTGTCCGTCAAAGAAAAAGCTTCCTTTGGTTTGTAGGTACTTCTTTATATAGCGAGCTATCAATATTTGAGGTCTAACTTGCCACTCATTTAATACTTCCTTTGTAGTACAAACCTGAAACGATATAATTCATTAGGTATGTAAAATCAGCAAGTTAATGATTGGATACACCGCGTTTTCTCATGAAAGAGCATTGCACCAAAAATAAACTAAAAATCTGCCGAATAAGTTGCGTTTTCAAAATGAGAATAATGCCTGTGATCGGAGGCATACATTTCTCGTCCCAAAGAGAGACATCAATTCAACAGTTTCCTTTGAGCATAATTTGGCGGTAGGTCGACTATTTATTCTGAGAAAGTGAAAGTAAAAATATTGACATTCAATTTTTTTTATTAATAATTACAATTAAGATCAAATTATGTGATCGGAACAAATAGCGAATTATATAGTGATCATATAGTAGGTATGTATAAATACAAATACATTATTCACTACATAATCCCATTACACAGCCGATAATTTGAATATTTCGAAACTGATAATTGACTTTCGGGAAAGAAAGGTACAAACCCAAAACCTTTCTTTCGAAAAATTAATGTCTTCTGAAAATATACCTCTTTCAAGTTGACAATTGACATATTGCATTTGACAACAGTTAGTTTTTTGACAGTTACTTCGAGTTTAGTCACAGATATACTGGTTTGTCTGCCGGGCGCTACCTTCACTTGGCCAATAGAACACTTTCCAAATTTTGGGAGAGTTAAAGTTTATTTTAATCAACTGTACTCCAGGCGACAGACTAGTTCTGTGGAAGAGGAATATTATTACATGGTAATGTGTTCATAATCGCGTGACCATTTCTGAAACCAAGGTTTTCAAAAATCTATATTCGTTTTTGTTAACAAATTCGTTAATTTCGTATAGGTTAGTTTCTACCACCACTAGAAAGTTCAACTAATTCATTTGGGATTTTTTTTTAGAGAGAAATATCTGCCACCAAACAAATGACGTACCTGATCTCCCTTCAGTCGGTCAAGTAAAGTAACACAAACATCTGCAGCCTTGATTCCAGCATGATGTGTGAGAGCTGCGAATGGAGTGGCTTCCATTTCGATATTTTTAATTCCATTTGATCGCAAGTTTTCCAGGTATTCCATCTTTTCCGCTTCAGTATAATCGCAGAAAGCTCCATCCAGCCTCCCTTGACCTATATAGAAAGAATATGCATCGTATAGACAAAATCTTGATTATCTTTTCATTTATTATCCACTCTCGGATTGTTTCATTGCCTACCTAAATTATGGAAATATGGGGAAAAGTGAGACAAATTCAATACCTTCATAGAAATCATCGGCACACATTGTGGTTCCTGTAACGGTGTCATATGGATCTTCAGGATCTGCCAAGGCTTTTAGTTCTTTAACAAGTTTTTTGTCGAGTCGGGTAGGCCTTTTAACAATTTTTCCTAGAATTGGCTGAAAATAAAGATCTAAGTTAACGAAACAATATAGTTTATTATCCCACTGAGCACAGATTCAGTAAGAATACAAGTTTGTTTAGATAAGAACAGACATCTATGCTTTATTTGCCTTTTTTTTTATTTTTGCAATTCATTTGCAGAGAACAATCTCATATTTTGGTCATTGTTTACATTTATTTACATTTATTTACAAAACACTTGGTGAAGATATTTCACGTAAGCAATTTTGTATCTCCGGTACTTACTTCAGTATTGACAACATTGAAAAAAGATTCATGCATACAGAGCCATCTATTGAGTATTTACGAAACCATTGTAGTTGTGTTGTATGAAAGTTTCAACAATAGACTAATGTTTTTCGATTGATGTTGAAAGTCGATGAAGATGGTATTTCTTAGCAACTTGTAGTACGGAAGGCAGCGCTGATTTTTTTGTATGAATGAATTTAATTTTAAGCAGTTGATAAATATGAAAGGCCAAGGCCGTAACACGCGGGGTTTCAAGGGGGATTGATCCCCCCCGAAAGTTCTACAAGCAACGACCATCCAAAAATTATATCAATTACAACGATTGGCTTGTTTAAACATCACAGGAGCCATGAGAACAACACCAACCGTGGCAATGAAAATAATTACTGGTCTGTCCCCTCTGGACCTGTACTTTAAAAAGGTTGTGTTAATGGCCATGTTACGATTGCTTCGAAGTAGGAATGGGTCAATTGAGGCTGAGCCTATGGCGAGAAGCGTTCACTGCGCAACTTCTGCTGCAGGCAACCAGTGATGCAATTGAACCTAGTTTTGTGTTTAATTAACCCACCAACCAACTTTTCAAGCACTTCGATAACTAGCTCACCGGCAGGACCTCCGGCAATCAGGACCAGACAAAAACGGACTTCATCGAATCCCGAACCAAAGGGGACTGATTCAAATGGCGCTTTTTGCAAAAGGTATTGTGGTACTTTCGAAAGAGGAGCTTCAAAAGGAGGTATCACTAAACTTCTCTTTCAAGGTTTTAGGTGCTTTGTCCCCCCCTACTTCATAAAATGCACTCTTTAAAAATAAGTTAGACGTATTTTTGCACCCTCTACAGGGTGCAATTCAAAAACAATAGTCTATATCTATAAAAAAACAATGAAAAACTCACCACTTGGTAATATTTGTTGAGCATTCCGTCAACGGCATCTTCAGATATAACTACGGTACCGCCTTCCAGTCCAATGCCGCCGCATGTGCCGATTCTAAAGAAGATGGGATCCTTACATTTCGAATGATACATTAGCTTTATTATTTCGTGTAATAAAATACCGATAGACGGTGCCCCCATTCCATGCTGTAAGAAAACGATTATTTTCAATAAAAAAGAACAAAGCGTAGGTACATTTTTTTTCGTTATCAACGGCATCGTCTATTGTAGTAATTAGCCTCGTGTTCTGGTTGGCCTACGTTAATAACCTCCCGAGTCACCTAGGAAGCATATTGGCTGTTGCAGAATAAATCCACCTTCAACTGAATGAATTCCCACAAGAATAATATCCGGTCGGAGGATCTTTGGATTGTAAACCAGTATCTTTGGATTGTGAACTGGGCACACTCCTACTCTCGCCAATTTATCGCGTAATGAGTTTATTGTGTCAAAGCTATTTTTGTTTTTTTTTGCCGTGGTCTGCATGTTTTGTGTCTGACGTTTCGTCTACACTGCGGTAGGCATTATCAAAGGCAATGAGGTAACGGTTGAAGTGCTCGAATTGTTCTCAATGCAGAAACTACAACTAGCAATGAAGAGAGGGCTGAAAAAGCCACTGTAAGGCGAAACACACGTGTTGTTTTTTTGTTAAATTGTCTAGTTAAAATCTCACAATGAAGAGTTTTTACCATCAAATATAACAAAAATTTATTCGATATAACAAAATTCCTTACTTTATCTACATAAAATTCTTGGGAGAATTACTTTAAGAGATTTAGGTGGACCGCAGTATAGAAAAAATTTAAATTAGAAATTTAAATTTTTGCAGTTCTGCGATATTTTATTAAGTCCAAAAAGGACTTCCGAAGTTGTTGAAGCTACATCTGTCAATTCAGTTGTCATTTATTTATTCTGCTAAATCACCATAGATTGATATATCATTCAACGACAGCTCTGTTACGCCAGCAACGCAAAGTACGGAAATCGCATTTAGAAAATGCCAAAATTAGGTACTTTTTAGGTATTTTTAGGTACCGAAGTCAAAAATTAGGTGCTCTGTAACTTACACCACAACTCAATACTTAAAGTTGCGTTGCTAGCATTATGTGATGCTAGCAAGGCAATGAAAATAATAATGAATGTGAAGGGAACACTATTAGGTGCTAATTAAGTGCTCTAATTAATAAACAAAAGCTTCCAATTTCGCTAAACAGATCTAAGAATCAGGTCTCTCCAAAAAGAGAACGAATGCTCTATCAGGTATAAACTAAGCGTGGTAATAAAGTGCTTATTAGGTGCTTGTAAGAAATTAAGATAAAAACGACCGCGAATAAGCGAAAAAAAAATCGAGCTACCTGATTTGAGGAAAAAAAAATAACAATATGCAATAGAGTCTTGAGATACTCGTAAAATAATACATAGACAATCAAAATAAAGTGCTAATTAGGTGCTGACTAGATATTCATAGTAAAACTAGATTCTTTAATGCCTATGGGGCTCATGAAAACCACCATGACTGATGTACTGAGTTTTTATAGTACGTTATTTAATAAATAAGGACAAGAAATTGAAGGGCTGATTAGGTGCTCACTAGATAAATAATAGTAAACCTAGATTCCATAATGCCACATAGACCTGCCTATGACTGATGGACTTAGTTCTTACAGTACGTTCCTCGATAAGTAAGGGTATGAGAATAAAGTGCTAATTAGGTTCTCATTAGATATTTAGCATAAATCTAGATTCCATAATTCATATGGGGCTCATGGACCCGATAACCACCATGGACCGATAACCACAATTAAACAAAAAATATTTAAAATATGTTTTTCCGTTTACCAACTATCGTACTCCTACGAACGATAACCCACAGAAATCGAAACTTGTGCGAGCTAAGAACTAACGAGGTCTTACTTTTTAACGTGTGATTCCTAACAAGGGTTGGACGATATCAAGTGAAAATTGAGCGTTCAGCCTGGGGCTTGAACCATTGACTCACACATCGGCCGACTGACTGAGTGAACAAAGCATCCACGTCGTCGAACCGACCGGTCGGTAGCCGGTAATGCCCCATAGGCATTATGGAATCTATGTTTACTATTATTTATCTAGTGAGCATCTAATTAGCACTTCAATTTCTTGCCCTTATTCATTAAATAACGTACTATAAAAAACTCAGTACATCAGTCATGGTGGTTTTCAGGTCCTTTAGTCCCATAGGCATTAAAGAATCTAGTTTTACTATGAATATCTAGTAAGCACTTTCAGGTAAGTATCTCGAATTTTTTTTTTTTTCGCTTATTCCGGTCGTTTTCATCTTAATTTCTTGCAAGCACCTAAGCTTTTGTTTATCAATTAGAAAATTCTACGATCCTCGCCGTTTAGCACTTAATTAGCACATAATAGTGTTCCGTTAACATTCATTATTTATTATTATTTTCATTGCGTTGCTGGCATCACATAATACTAGCTATTGAGTTGCAGTGTAAGCTACAGAGCACCTAATTTTTGACTTCGGTACCTAGAAAGCACCTAAAAAGTACCAAATTTTGGCATTTTCTAAATGCGATTTCCATACTTCCATACTTTGCATTGCTGGCGTAACGGAACTTTCAACGACACGTCTAAATAATAAATGGGTGTTCTCTCAGGGCAACGTACCGCGCGATTCGACCATTTCGGCGTAATCGTCCTACCGAGAGGACTATTTGCAATGTGGTGGATAAATTCGAGGTCACTGGTCCTGTTAACGATTTACAAACACCCGTACGTCGACGAAACGCCAAAAACATCGGCCTTTCGCATTCCACATCGAATTTTACGCCATGACTTGGGCCTGCACCCATACAAAATTGAACTGACCCAGGAATTGAAGATAAACGATCATAGTGTGTTCGCTGAATGGACTCTGGAGCAGTTGGCAACCGACTCTAATTTTCATTGAAAAGTCGCATTTCTGGATGAATGGGTACGTGAACAAACGAAATTGTTGAATCTGGGACGATACCAATCCACATCTAAGAGCGTCCAATGCATTTTGGAAAAGTCACTGATGTGGATTTTGAGCTGGCCAGAGTCGACGTTTCGGATTCGCTCCACCCAGAGAAGCCTAACGGATATTTGAACAATGTTATATTTCATATATATGAAAGACCCCTTAAAATAAGGTTAGAGAATGACTTTCATTGACCTTTTATAAGGCTTTTCACTTCACACAATCTGAATGGATAAAAATTAGTAATGGAGAACTTGAAACAGATTGGTGAAGGTGAAAATTCCAGAAAACTTCCTTGAAAAACTTCGATTACTCCACAAAAATCACTCCTTCGAATATTTTTTGAAGAATACTTACACTAACGGATAGAACGGGCCCCACTTTGTACATACTATATCTATAGGAATACTGACTGATATCCATCAACTGCGTGCCAGTTGGTAATTTGTGTCCAATTTCTTTCATCACATAATGGGCGAAATTTTCCATCCTCTTCGGTGTGCCACCCATGCATACGAACTGAAAAAAAAACAAAACTTCAAGACTAAAGACATAACATTCAATTCAAACATAAATTTTGATCAACTTCCAAATTGTCCGATGTTTCCAGGTTTATTAGCCGTGGTCTGCAAGTTTTAATTCCCGACGTTTCGACTGCTACTGCGGCAGACAATATCAAAAGCGATATCTTAATACGATGCGACGTAATGGCTTCAATTTTGCAGCCATTTCTTCAGGTCTCGTCGCTGGTCTCTACAAGGGTCTCAATCTGCCCACTCCCAAGCAACGACTGTGGGTCCACAGGCTCTTGTCTGGTATTTATGTCGCTGTTCGAGTGAGAATATGATTTGCAGAAGCGAGGTGTGCAATATTATGAGATGTACGGCGTGCCTGTAATTATCTTCATGAATGAGGAAATCCTTGTGATTGATTTCGTTTGTTGAGGTGTTTTTTGATGACAATGGATTTGGTGTTTTTGAAGCTTATTTTGTGACCTGTTTCACGATGATGTTCGATGATGGATACTATTCTGTTGGTCTGGCCGATATTCTGGAGCAGGTGGAACATGGTATTCAGTGTATGCCCTGCGCCTCATTGGATATCGTGTCATTAGAAGTTTCTCTACAGAATTTGATTAATTTTGTCGTTGACTCCATGAATCTGAGGAAGAAGAGCTTTTGGGTGGTCCGCCTGTTCGTGGATGTGGGGTACGAGTTTGCTGAAGTTGGATGGATCTTTGGATTTGGGATTCGGAAGAGTCGTTTTGGCGAAGGGCAGATTTGAGTTCAGTTCGTCTAGTTCCTTGGATCTATCGTTGCTGTCAGTGTGTTTGAGACCTGTGTATGAGATAATTCAGAACGTAATTCAGTTGGGCAGGAGGAATTCAATTGTGCAGGATGATGATAGGACTCAGCATTGGCGAAGCTGTTAGTATGGATTTGTTTTCGGTAAACAGTGTGCAAGAAGGAATCATTGAATTTTGTGGTGAGACCGTCCACGAATGGAAGTAAGTTGTTATTTCCGACTTCCATTATGAATTTCAGGTCGGAATTTGAAGCAGCCTTTGCAACTCCAGCGACATGATTGTGCCAAGACATATTGGTGTCCATTTTAACCCCCAACAAACTTATCGAAGCAGAAAGCGGAATTATCTGACCTGACATTATTATATCAGGTTCGGAGACGTTTATCTTCTTGGAGAAAACCGACGCCTGGGTGTTTGTTACATTGAATTGAACCTGGTTATTTTCACCGCAATTCGAAATCACTTCTAGATCCTCTTTAAGATATGCAACCACCTGCTGTCAGCTGATATTCTGGAATCCAAATAGAATGGCAATAAAAGTGTGCTATAGACAGTAAAGCAATATATTGGATTCTTGGTTTTTTCCAATGAGTCGTTGATATACAATAAAAAGAGGGTTGGAGACAATATGGATCCCTGGGGAACATCAGCGTTGATGGTGGAAGTATTTGAGAGCTATCCATCGACGGCCACTTGCAGGAGTTCTGCTCTAGAGGCAGTAGTCGCCATAAGTTCATTGAGTACAAGTCGACTATAATGCGAATTTATTAACGAAGTGTCTTCAGCAAATGCAACACACATATCCGGAAGCAAGTAATGAATGTAGTTTTTGTGATGAAAGAAAATAAGTTACTGCAAATAGTCATTCCATAAGAGTACCACTTTTTTCAATATGATCCTAAAAGAAATATAGAAACCTCAGAAACCTCAGTACATGAACAAAGAGATTTCTATTACACAGCCAATTCAACTAACAGAAGCAATGAAGAACAGTACGTTTTCGACCGTTTTTCGTGCGTTTTCGACCGTTTTTCATGCGTTTTCGTGCGTAACAGTCACATACTTGACCAACTGCACCACGAAAGTACTGCACGAAAAGCGTTACGCGAAAAAACGTTGCGCGAATGCGTTACGAAAAAAAAAGGTTATTTTTTTCATGTAACGTTTTTTCGTATAACGCTTTCTCGTAACGTTTTTTGCGTAACGTTTTTCGTGCAGCGCTTTCGTGGCGCAGTTGGTCAAGTATGTGACGGTTACTAACAAAAACACACGAAAAACGGTCGAAAACGCACTGTTCTTCATTGCTTCTGTTAATTGAATTGGCTGTGTAATAGAAATCTCTTTGTTCATGTACTAGCCTCAAATGTCGATTTCTAAAATTCAATAATATTAAAAATTTGAGTATTGGAAATCTAAATTACCAGAAACGGAAAATATCTAAAAAAAGAGACAAAAACGCATTAATGTTTTTTACTGTCATTTTGAAAATAATAAATTACGGCCTGTTCAAAAAATGAGGTTAATGTTTGTATACTCGTCTCGAACAAATGTTCACAGTTTCGGCTGTTTAGCATGTTTAGTTTGTTGGTGAGAGACATAAAAGTTAGAAGGGTTTTGCGTGTCCGGCGATTTTCTGCTATCGAAAAGAATGGATCAGAAAATTTGCATTAAATTTCGGGTAAAAATCGAATTGAGTGCTCAAAAACAACTTGGAATGTTGACAGTGGCATACGCCGATTGTTCTCTGAGTCATAAAAATGTTTAAGTGATACTACTTAGAAGGGGACAAAATAGAAATTGATGAATAAATAAATATTTTTTGCAAATTCACTTTGTTTTTGAACAGAAAATCCAACGGAAAGTAAGAATTAGACCCTCTAGTGTAGAATAAATGAATTAAACTGTAGAGTTCATCCCCTGATGACGTCAACTTGTTTGATGAAACGGGCGTTGAGAGAAGTGTTGCAGCTCTGGTGAGTGTATACGGCGAGATATGAATGCATTATGAAATAAAATATAATTATTACTGACATATTGAAGTAGAAAATAAGTTTCAGCTTAATGTCTTCAGTTTATGTATGGCATGTTGAAGAAAGTGAAATTTTGAAGAAAGTGAAATTTTGATGAAAAAGAAATCACTCACATTCATGAGTAATCAAATCACCACCCTTATATAGGTTTACGGCAGGGAGTTCATCTTACGTTTTGCAACCTGTTCACCAACTAATCTATAAGATATGACTTAATAAATGACCCTTATTGGTATATAGAACGAGATTCATAAAAGCCAGACAGGAAATTTATGACCTTTACATAAAAAAAAGGTTTCCTATTTTTCACAATATCTCATCCCAATATACCCAAAGCAAAAACCATAAAATTCTTTCCGAGAATAATTTCAAAAATGACTCTGGTTTCAAAAACTAAAAGAACTAACCTGCTTTCAGTCGACATTTTTTTGCTACGGCAAACATGTTCCTCTTCCATGTTAACGACTCAGAACCAGCTCAGTAAAAAGTATTGAGTATAATATTTGTATACTTGCTGCAATTCCAACTGCACATGCACGAGCAGTGGAAAATCTGTCATATGTGGGGTAAAAATAAAACTCCATTTGTGAAAATATAAAGCAGCGTCCCATGAAAATCTCATTTGATATGTGGAACTTAAACGAAAAGTATCATATTCAAGGACGGAAAATATCAAGGTCAAACTTTGTTTCAAAAACTACCTACAGCCACAAACAAGTTTCTTAACTTGTACGTAATCAATTTCTTCTTCAACTGTATTTTGACAGCACTTCCTCACACGTCAATCCTGGCTTTTACAAGGAGGGCAAAAAAAATTTGCACCCACCTGTCATAAGTCAAAAAGTTGCATAGAGACCATGGGGTTCAAACCGGTTTGCTTTGGTATGTCAACATGAGCAATTGAACCAACTTCGTACAGATGTTGATAGATGGTGCAAGTGCTGTAGGTCGAGAGACTTTGACTTAAATTTTTTACAAAGGAAAGGGGTCCGAGCGATCACACTTGTATTTCTGACATTCACTCTAACATTTTTGAGTGAAATTCAATAGAGAAATGAAAAAAAGTTCATAAGATTATTTTAGAAGAAGGCTGCCGTAAATAAAGAGCTTCCATTAACGCAAATCACAAGGTTACAGAGTGGACCAATAGTGAAAGAGCAAAAATTCAAACCGCCTACAATAAAAGCTGCTTTGATTCGTGGAAAAAGTAAGAGTCTTCTTCTTTGTCACCGGCTTTATCGATACTCAGATAACGATAGTACTGAGAACGAGAAAGAAACTATACTTTTGGAAAAAGGCCTTAATCATAATACTGAGCCCAATAATAATTCGGCAAAAATAGCTATGCGAGGTACTTCCTATTCGAATAAACACATTGCCGCAAACATTTTGAAGTACGAACCTGTTGATGGAATTCAGTTCAATAAAGAAATAAGAATTGTAAAATCAATCAAACAGAAAGCGAATGGTAATGATATAGTTTTTACAAGAGCAGACAAAGGTTGATCAGTAATAGATAAAGGTCGATCAGTAATTGCTGTATGTAAAAGCGAATACGTAAGAAAAACCCTTGCTTTTTTGAATTTAGGGTCTTACGGCATTTTGGGGAATGATCCAAAAACCCTTTACAAGAGAAAAGTGAAATAAACGAAGGAAAAGTCAATAGAGATAGTAATGAGTGAATTTGAAAAACACAGGGTATTTGTCATGAATCCACAACCAACCAAATTTTATTTTCTAATCAAACTACATAAAACTAATGTTCCAGTCAGACCTGTGGTGTCGTTTATAACTGTTCCATCTGTGAAAGTTTTGGAAAAGCTCGTAAAAAGAATTCAGTCCTACAATAATTTCAAACAACGATTCAGTATAAATAATGAGTACCAATTAGTGAATAACATTGAAAACATAACTTTTTCTGTCAATGCTAAATTGATATCTTTTAATATCCAAAATTTATTTCCTAGTGTTCCGCCAATAACGATTGGGGTAGTTGTCCGTCTTTCAGACAGAAACCACTTTAATCTAATATTTAAACTCGAAATTTCAGCTTTGCTAAAGATTTGCCTAGCTCAAAATTATTTCCAATTCAATGACAATGTTTACTCTTGTAGTTAGGATCTGATAATGGGAAACTGAGCCCCTTGTTAGCTTAAATTTTCATGGCCAACCTAGAGAATAAAATTCATACCAATCGGCTAATCAA